GCTCCCCACGGCTGGACGGACCCGTGGCCCCCTTGGCTCTTCGCCCGAGGCTCGCGCCGCGTGCCGGGGCCATGGGCTGCACGCAGGCGAGGGCCTCGGAGTTCGGCGGCCGCCGCCCCGCGGAGGGTCGGGCCGAGGCCGAGGCCGCCGGGGGCGCCGAGGCCGAGGCCGCGGAGGGGTCGCCTAGACCTCCCACAAGGGGGCCACGTGCGAGCCCTGCCCCTGCCCCCCACGATTTCTGAGAGGAAGGGTGGGGATCACTTCGTTCGGGAGCTCCCCGGGCCTCGAGGCCGCCAAAAAATGGCTCAGGGTGAAAAGCTGGTCCCGGGAAGGGTTCCAGACCTCCGGGAGTCGACGTTGCGAACAAAAGTCACGACGTCGGGGGTCCCTCGCACAGGACGCGGCGGTCGAGCCCGAGCAGGCGGTCAAGGGCGAGTGCAGGTGCCCTCCGCGGTCGTGGGAGCCAGGCCGCGCGGCCGGGGCGAGCGTCGCGTCGATCGGCGGGCGGGCGCGCTGGTGCGCGGACGAGCTCGTGATCGCGCACAGGGACGGCAGGGTGCACAGGTACGGCGGCGGCGGTGAGGGCCCCTCGGCCGCCCTCGTGCTCGGCGGCGGCGAGCACCTGCTCAAGATCACGCAGCGCTGGGGGGGCGCGGGCGTCGGCTCGCAGATCCTCTTGATCACCTCGCAGCACCGAGTCTTTGCCCTCGAGGGCCGCGGGAGGAGCTGCGGCGACGAGAAGGTCGAGGTCATAGCGGATGGGCGGCAGGAGATCGTCGCGCTGCGACTCGGCGAGGACGGCAAGCTCGTGGAGGTGATGCTCCGGAGGCTGGACGGCGGGGGCGCGGTGTGGGTTCCGCCCTACCGGGGTCCCAAAGGCGATGCGGTGCAGCGCATGCACTGCCCCGTCTTCCGTGCCGAGATGGAGCTGGCGTTTGCAATGACTCGACTGAAGACAGCGCTGCCAGCGCCACAGTATTGGCGTGCGCCGCAGTCGCTCTACTGGGGTCCGGGAGGATGGGAGCTTTTCGCCGCGCCTGAATTCAAGCAGCAGGCGCAGGAGGTGATTACTGCTACGTGGCTTCCGCGCAAAACGCGGGACCGTACGGGGCGGTTGCCGTCTGGGCTGAAGGTCCTGAGCGTCGATCGGCTTCAGAATTGCTTGCTTTGGCAGCGGTACCAGGACCGCAAGACGGAACTGCTCAGCCGTGGCCCTTGTGTGCCCGTCTCGGAGCTCGACGGGGTTGCAGAGACGGGCGCGGTGAAGACGGCTGTGCTCGCGCAGGGCGCAGAGCTGTCCGCGGAGGTCAACGAACATTACCTGTTCCACGGTACCAGCATCGCAGGGGCCAACGGCATCACGCAGCACGGCTTCCAGATCGCGCGGGCTGGGGAGCACGTCGGCACCATGTTCGGGGCCGGCTGCTACTTCGCGGAGTGCTCCTCGAAGGCCGACGAGTACGTGCACGACACGGGGCTGAAGTCCGTGGCGAACGCATTCAAGCGCAAAGGCGCAGCTGATTCGGCTGGTGCGGGCGGCGGGACGTTCGCGCTGCTCTTGTGCCGCGTTCTCTGCGGACGTCTCTTCCGGGTAACGCAGAAGGACCCAGAGGGCATCAGTGCGGCCCTGGCGGACGGCTACGATTCGGTGCTCGGGGACCGGGAGGCGTCCGTCGGCACGTACCGGGAGTTCGTCTCGTTCAACCAGGAGAACATCTATCCGGAGTACAAGATCATCTATGAGCGCGTCTACGAGGAGTTCGGATGAACCCAGATTCGACGAGACGTAAGAGTGACCTTTCGCCAGAGTGACCTTTTGGTGCGGGCCCAGTGGGGTCCCCCGATCGCCGAACGCGATGCGGTAACAGCGTCTTGCGCGCTTGTGTTTCGCCCCCCCGCGGCCCCCAGAAAACAGCGCACTAAAGGTCCCTCTTACCCAGGGTCGCTCTTGCGTGTAGTCGACAGATGGGCTCCAGCTGCATCGGCTCGGGGCTGCGGGGCCGGGCGCCGCCGTGGAGGACCTGCGGCCTCCCGGCGCGCTGCGAGCTGGCCCCCGCTGCGGGGTGGCCCGTGGGACGTCCCTCCTGCAGGCCCTGTGGCGGCCAGAACAGGCGGTGCGGCTGCCGCTGTCCCATGGTGTGGGCCGCTGGGGCCATCGACTCCAGATGGGCCCTGGTGCCCCGCGATGCTCAATCAGAGCCCGCGGGTGTGGAAGAACGCGCCGGGTCATTGGTTTGCTGGGCCGTCGACCGCACCGAGCCCTCGCGCGCCGTGGCCGCCCGTGCCGGAGGCCGCGCGGCGCTGGCTGCCGGCGCGCCCGGGCGCTGCCCCGAAGCTCCACGCGGCTGGCGCCGCCGCCGGCCGCCGCGGCGTCGCCGTCGGTGGCGTCGCCAGAGGCGCCGCCGAGATTTGTGTCCAGCTACCCAGAGATCTGATGTCGTGATGTTTTCAATACGAAGTCCCGGAGGTCTCGACCCAT